CTAATTGCTCCTGTAAGTCGCTCTGGATAAGAGCGTCTGCTAAATGACTAAAATGTATCAACAAAAAAATATATTATAAAATAAAACAGATATGTTAAGACAAAATGAGACGCAAATGGCACCCTATTCCCTATGTAGTGCACTACTTTACGACCAGGGCCCATAGGGTTTGAATAGGGTGCCATTTTGGGACAAAGCCACTGTTTGTGTTCACAGAATTTGCATTTAAAGATAAACACAGACAACATACAAAAACATATAGGACTGGTTTCCCAGACACAGACTAAACCTAGCACTGGACTAAAAAGCAAGCTCAACGGATAATCTCCATTGAAAGTGCTTTTTAGTCCATGACAAGTCTTAATCTGTGTTTGGGAAACCAGTGCATAGAGAGCTGGGGGACTGCCCAGGGAACAGTGTTTCAAAAATTATCTGGATTTTGCCTATTGGATAGGATTAAATGCATAGAGATAGAATGCATAGGATGGACGAATCACTGATTTGAATGGGGACTCCTGAAGAATATACTACGAAGGAAGCTAGATCTACTCAGGGTTTTCTGAAGCTAGCCAGCTTCGGTTAGCTTCCCATTCCAGCTCAGGCTTCATCCGTAGCCTACTACGACGGTGGATATTACTCATCCCCCTGCCACTAACTCTAGCAGGCTTGTAACTGCTGAACTCGTCATTGAGACAATGCTGAAACTTCAACCCATGGACGAGTCAGTGCCACATTTTTAATTGATCCCTAAATACTTTATATCTGGTTTTAGTCGTTTAAGTTGACACTAGCTAGGCTTCCATCCAATTGGCGACAGATTTTCCTGCAAATATTTTAAAATCCGCTTAAAAACAATATTTGCATTTTCCCACCAGAGACGTTTCAATCAAATTGACGTGTTGCAGATCAAAGACTGTGTGTGATGACACAGTGCACATAAAAATACCTTTTGCGTTTAAATTCTCATGTACGGAATAGAAAATGTAAATTGGTTTCCATCATTTTTCCATTCTACTGACGGTTTAGTCACAAAACATTTTGCGTTATTTAGCGAGTGTCCCCACTAGAGAGCACGTATAGCCTACTACATGATGAGATTATTATGGACAAAAGAGAGGGATTATTTTTATTTGTCAAACGGCAGCCAAGCATCATTTCACCACAATAAGACGCAGTGGCACTGCATCGCAGTGCTAGCTGTGCCACTAGAGATCCTGGTTCGAATCCAGGCTCTGTCGTAGCCGGCCGCGACCGGGAGACCCATGGGGCGGCGCACAATTGGCCCAGCGTCGTCCAGGGTAGGGGAGGGAATGGCCGGCAGGGATGTAGCTCAGTTGGTAGAGCATGGCGTTTGCAACGCCAGGGTTGTGGGTTCGATTCCCACAGGGGGCCAGTATGAAAAATAAAAAAAAATATGTATGCACTCACTAACTGTAAGTCGCTCTGGATAAGAGCGTCTGCTAAATGACTAAAATGTAAATGTAAAGGAACATCAAGATTATCACGTTTTACTTTCACCATTCTATGAAGTTCATCATAATTGATTTCATCTGTAGCTTAATAAACTGCATGCTTTCCCAACGAGTCCTAGTGGGAGGACCGCACAACGTCATCATCTGATTCCAACTTCACTTCGACATGATGGTTATTATATCAACATTTGAGCATAAAAGCTTTTCCACCTATATTTCACGCATAATTCATTTTACCGACACTAAAAGATCTCACCCTTGTCTAGCGTGTTTTATTTTGTAGTTTACCGAAACATTTTCTGTTTTCATCAGGCCTGTCATTAAAGGTTTTATCTGACAGGTACTTTACTCTACAACTAAGGTTGGATGAAACCTGGTTACTGAAAGCATTTTTCCATCCCGAAAATGTATATATAAAAAAATATATATACACTGTTTGGACAAAAAAAAGCTTAGGCCCAGAGATTACAATGCCAGAAAAATCCCTGAATGTGGATATATTTTAAATGACAATTTTTTAACACAAAACAAAATAATTGAATCAGTCGTCTTCCTCAAATGAAGGGGATGATGACGCAATCTTTGCTTGGGGGAGGAAATCTGATTTCACTGGTCCTCAACTCGCGGCTCAGTCATTTAATTCAGGGTAAGTGGAGTTATCCGTGAGTTAGCCTGCCCCGGAGCAGTTTCAATCTGAAGGATTCGTTGGCATCGAAATTTACCTGGCTAAAAGGGGAGCCACTTCGTGGTACCGGTTATCCCGAGTTGACCAAAGTTACCTAGCTAACTCCTCAAACCAGCGTCGTAGCGTAGGGCTCAGTTCTATTCATTCTATCTCTATGCATTTAATCCTATCCCATAGCCCAAAATCCAGATGGATAACTTTAGAACAACTGGAGCCAGGTGATATAAAGACATTCTAATTACCTGGAGGTCAGGGGACAGGTGGTAGAGATGGTTGACCGCCCCCACGTACAGATGACCAGACCTGGGGTCCAGCAGGAGGTGGCTGAGGGGAGATCCATCCA